GCCGTTATCGCCGCTTGTGCACTCACTGCAACCAACGTCGCTGCCGCTGGAGAAGAAGGAGCCGCGTGGGGATACAAGGCCAACGACACCAGTATGGCATCACCTAACCAGTGGGCCGAGAACTACCCCACTTGCGGTGGCCAGCGCCAGTCACCCATCGATATTGATACCAACGTCGGCTGCAGCTCCGAGAAGCGCTCGCTCACCTTCAGCGGCTCGTGTGCCGACTTCAACGTTTCGCAGTCGGAAGCTAGCGTGAACGGTGGTTCGTGCGCTGTGACGGCCAACGGCGCAGCATACAACATGCTGCAGTTCCACATGCATGTGCCATCGGAGCACACTTTGAACGGCCAGTACCTGGGCGGTGAAGTACACTTCGTGCACAGCAACGCGGACAGCTCTGCTCTGCTAGTGACGGGCGTGTTCTTCAAGGCTGTAGAGGGCGCGAGTGACCCGTGGGTGGTGTCCGTGCTGGACGCGCTGGACCATGTGAGCGCGAACGCGACGGTGGCGGCGACGCTGGCGCCGTACGCCGATATGGTGAACAAGGCGGCGGACGCGCAGGGTGTGTTCAACTACCCCGGTAGCCTGACGACGCCCGGTTGCAGCGAGATCGTGGACTGGTGGGTGGTGAAGAAGCCCGTGGACGTGTCGACGGCCGACCTGGAGCGCCTGCAGTCTCAGCTGCGCAAGATTCAGATCACGGACGACGGCAAGAACGCGCGTCCGGTTCAACCTCTGAACGGCCGTGTCGTGGCGGCTCTGCTCTAGTTGTCGTACTTTGTTCTTTATCCTTTAGAAACGTAAATATGAAAACGAGAACACTAGGTTTTGATTTCTGTTAGTTTGTCGGTGGTAAATGTCCGTCTGCATGATATGCTGTGGTGAGTTTGAAAAGCATCAAACCGACATGGTGATCAACAGTGTAGGTACCAGTGTCACTGGCTGCCAAAGTTTTACAACTTATATAAACGCAGCGTTGTTCTTTGCTTTTAAGCTTTTAGGCAGTAGTAGCCACCAATTTACAGACCGTTATGGTCTCGATTTTCAGACTTGATGTACCTTGTCCAACAATTGCTGGAGCAGGCGAAGGACGCGTAGTCTGGTCAACGTTGTGGAGCTTACGTACAGTATTATGAGGAGTCGGATTGATCTAGCCTATCGAAAGTCAACAGTGCGGCATCGATATCTACACCCGAATTCAGCCGTGTTCTCTCCCAAGTGGATGAGAAATGAGGAGCTTACCAAGACGAGCGCTTGAAGCATTACATTCAGGTGGTGACCAACTGTTTGCGCTCCGATCTTGCTTTACCTTTCTTTTCAAAAAAAGAAGGGGGTGATTAATCTAGGAGTTCTCACTGTACTACTTCAACATACTCGAATAGAAGTGCTGTTGGAGGCGTTACACTTCCACTGAAGCTGGAGACGCTACTTTGAGGACTTCACAAAAGTCCTGTGAGTATTTTATCTGTGGGCGGGATCAGTAGCGACAGCTTTACAAATTTATCGTAGCAATCCGAACGTTTATCTACGATGAGTTGCCGTATCAACAAAGGTTTAAACGGCGCATAATTGATAGAAAGCCTATAAATGTAGTATATGGTGTGGCTGCGAAGGAGATACAAATGGGAGGCAAAACATTGGAGGTATAATAATCATTTTATTTTTACCAAAACCCCCCCCCCCTCCCCAAGCAAATGAAATGCCTGCAATTGCTATTCGGTGCGATACTCGTGTTTATTTTCTCACTGAGGTACATTGATATCGTTCATCTTCATTTTGGATGATGAACTTGAAACGAAGGAGCCATGACTCTCACAAGGAAAGCTTTGATGCACTTGCAATCGTTGATTGGCAGCAAACACGAATATCTTTTCTAGTGACTTGTACATGCATATAAAGTAGTATTTTTTTAAGTAGACTAATCTTTAGCTACTACGAGAAATGTTATGGCACTGTGCAAGTATACTTGCACTTGAAAACTCACTACGGCTTTAACGTTTTTTTGCAGCAACACCTAAGGATATTGGTGACGCAGCTTGATCTACCACAATGGCTGCTTTTCACGAAGAGCTCTAGAACGGTCTAGGTTTGTACTCTAATGTAAGGACAGTGTCACGCAAAAAAAAAAAAACGCGTGTAGAACGAGGTTTTCAGGAGAAATGGCCCGTTACAAGTGTAGTGTTACAGGTATCAGACAAAAGATAGATTACTCGATTCAGACTAATACTTATTACTTCGCGCGGCACTCTATTGTTAAAGTAATGGGGGCGCTGCATTCGCCAAAAAAAAAACACTAATCGCTTCAGACATACTATTCGGTATTATTTGTTACACTACTAAAAGTCTCCGCGTATTTCCTCTTTTTGTGTGTGTGTGTGTGTGGGGGGAGTTACCAGTATGAATGGAATGAGCGAGACGAGCTCTTCAACTGCTCTCCTCTCGTAGGCTTTTTACGTAGGATCATTTCGTTTCGTGTGGCCTCATATGTACAGCGGATGCAAAGGAGTCTGTGGTTGGAATGGAGTGACTTGCAAGTAGTCAAGTGATTCCACGAGAGCAGAACAGAAGGCTATACGGCTGCCGCGATGAGGTACGCGGCCCAAGAGGACATCTTGAAGTAATTCGGTAACTGCATGATAAGCGAGACGAAGGCTGTTCAGAGCACGCTTTAGGTCTAGACGCATTCCTGTCGTCAGCTCGATCAGTGACAGCAGCCAGCATGAGATCTTCATTCACCTCGCCCTGAAGCTTGCTAACCCGAGCAATCAGTGGAGCGTACTATGTTGACTCGAGTCTCAAGAGTAGCCGGGATCTATCAATCGGCAGCGTCTTCAGTAGATGCTCAAACTGTATTTGGAGTTTCAGGTGTTATATTAACCAGGTCAATCGCTCTTCTCTTCATTGTCCGTCGACGAGCTACCGTAAATGCGGGCGTAACGCTGACGTAATTCCTCCCGGCGGCGCTCCGCCTCAGTCTGTGGTGCCGGTGGAATCGTTGACTCGACAGGAAGGGAAGCCGCGGGCTCACTAGCAGTAGTCGACGGGATCGGACGTTTGTCTTCTAGGTCCTCCGATACTGCACTGGCATCTGCAGGTGCAGATGTCGTCGTAGCTGCGGCTGGAGCAGATAGAGGCGCAGCTGGCGCAGTTTGAGCTGCAACGTTAGTCTGTGTCTGTGCTGGCATTGAAGCAGGTGGCTGCGGTACAATATGAGCTTGCTGCAGGCCTCCAAACTGTGCCGCGGATGCCTGTAGTACCGCCAACTGAGCATGTAGGAGATCAATTTGGCGTTGAATACTCTCCGGGTCCATGGCTGGCTGCTGCATTCCTTGTTGCTGAGCCGGCATGTGGCCCATCGGCATGCCAAACGGAGGCATCATGCCGTACGCACCAGGCATCCCGAAGCCGAACGGAGCGCCCATTCCAGGAGCAAACATCATTGGCGACATGTACGGATTCGGATAACCCGGAGCATACGGGTGACCGGGCGCAGGAACTCCCCCAGTAGGAGGCGTTGCTTGTGCAGCAGAGGCAGCGGGTTGAGTAGCTGGAGGAGCCACTCGTCCCATGGCAACTCCGAAGCGGAAACGCGGAGCGGCCGGCGCCGGTCGTGGCTGAGCATCAGCCGGTGCTGGTGCTGGTGCCGGTGCTTGAGGTGCGTTGTTCTCAGGTCGTACGGCACGAGCTGCCGCGTTCTCGGGGACGGTAGGACGACGTGGTCCCGTTGGGATAGTAGAGCGACACGTAGGGCACGTCTGCTGGCGCTGAACCCACATTTTCAGGCAGTCGACGTGGAAGATGTGTGAACACGGCAGCTTCTTGCAGGCGTCGGGGGTCATTTCTTCACGACAGATAATACACGTCCTGTCCGTCTCCTGTAGTTCCTCCTCCGTTGGGTTCGGGAAGCGCTCGTTCAGATGAGCTGTGATTTTCCTATAGCGGAAGTACGAAGCAATCCGTCGCTGCAAGTTCTTGATGGAGATCCACAGGTCACGCACAATGTGCAGAGGCATGCCGTAGTACGTGAAGATCAGCATGAAGAAGACCTGGTAAGCATAATAAATATTTGTTAAATAACCAGGTTAAATCCAGCAAAATAGGAATATTCTAACCGTACCAAGTAGACGACGAGTTTGGTAACTTCAGACACAAGTTCCAGGTAGAATAAGTACGTGAACTTGTTGGTCCATGCGCCATCCATTCGAGAGTCCACCACGTATAGTACATAGCGGAGGAACGTGGCCACAATGGTCACTAGTAGGATCAAAAACTAAAAAAAATTAGAAATGTCAGCACTAGTTGTCTCGTTCTCAATTCCAGATATTCCCACCTCGAATCCAAAGAGGATAAAGACTGACGGGCCGATCTCCATGACCTTCAGTGAGCACCACACCACGAATCCAGTGTCCACAGCTGCGAGCATGGCCATGAGCCCCACGAGACGCACGTGGGTGAGTCTGGAGATCACGTCCGTTTGCTCGATCTGGCAGAAACATCCCGTTAGTAAAATTACTTTAAGAATAATAAAATATGAGAGTCTATAACGTACAAACTCGATTCTGGACTGCGACAGCCAGTGGAAGATCTTGAGGAACACAAGCGCCGTGAATAATACCATGACGTGGAATGAAATCTCATCGCGGAAGATCGTGAGCGCCAGACACGTCTCCGTCACTGCGTAGCGCACATTCTCGTGCAGCAACTAGAAGCAAGAAAAATATAACATTAGAGGATCTACAGACTGTCACATATAAAATCTAAAAGTCCATCACCTCAACTTCCGCATCACGAAGCGTTCCAAGGAAAAATGACTTGAGCAACCGCCCGAAGAGCGTCGTGAGCACGAGGCCGGCGTTGCCCAGCACCAATACGCTGACTTTGGAGGTCACGAGGTAGATTACCGACGGGTAGAACTGCTGCCGCGTCACGTACGTGTACCAGAGCAGCCCCACGCAGGCCGCTAGGCTGGCGCTCGAGTATAACCAGAACTTCATACCCGTTGCCTGAATGACGTCTACGTGGCAGAAAGGATAATAAAACACGGTATAAATAGCCAGCCAATCATATGTTTTTACAATATCATTAACGAATCAAAATCGAGGATTTTAAAAATTTTGATATCGTAATCGGTATACCGGTTGGCAGCACCACTTCAACTTCATGTTCCTTTTACGTTTTTGTTTTTCCGGAAATAAATTACTTGCTCTTTAGTTTAACCCGCTAGAAGTGGAAGTCCCCAACAACTGGGTAGTGGTCGGATAGATCTACTAGGACTTCGTCGCTGGCACCTCGAGATGGAGCCCAATTCCTCGTAGCCTTAAGTTGCACGATTTCAGTTGAAGCAGCTACAGGTCGGCGATGGCTGCGGTCTACCATAACGTAGTCCAGACGTTCTGCAATACCTCCAGAGCTTGGGCCATCCACAGCGAGACTGTTTGTGTGGGGATCGAAGCTGTAAATCGGAGACTTTTCACGAAGCTGGGGGTCATCCACTCCCAGTAGACCCAGCATACCTGTGTACTCTCCGTCGGATGTCTGTGCACCGTCGGCGTGCTTGTTGACATTCATATCTCCCGCATAAATTACCGGTTCGTGCTTTGGAAGACGTAAAGAGTTCACAAAGTCGCGCATCAGAGTCAATTGGCAGTTCCTTGTGGCAACAGCAAGCGGAGTTTCCCAGGCCTGCAAATGTGTCCCCACGATATGCACTGTTTGGGTGGCATCAGAGCCTGAGAAGCTTTTAACCGGCATGCGTACTTGGAAGTAAATAACTCCTTTGTCCGCGTATCGATCTTCACCGGATGCAACGTTACCGAACGTCACTTCTTCGCAGTTGGTGAGAGGGTATTTGCTCATAGCGAAGCACCCACCGTCGATCGCCTTCTTGGAGCCTAGAAGTGATACATCTCCCACGATCTTGGTCTCGTAGATAAAGCCTTGTGACTTCATTCCAGACACCAGTTTCTCACGAGCAGAACTGCAAAAGGCTTCACAGAATATCACCACGTCCACATCCAGCGACGCGAGACAACGCGGGATGGCGGAAGCACGCTGAGAAGCCCATGGAGACACTTTCTCGTTGAAAGACGACACGAAACTAGGCAGCAGCCAGACGTTGTACACCATGACACGCAACTTGAATGGAATCGCGCTCTTTGGCATCAAAGGGACAGATAACCGCTCTTCCAGCTCCGCAGGCTGTTCACGCATTGTCGTTGTCTCAGGACAGTCCGCAGCTTCGTGTTCGTTGCTTACTGCCCCCACTCGGAACACTGCTGGTGAGTATTTTGTAGCGGTAATAAACTCGCCGTGCATACCAAGCAATTGACCGGCCCACTCGCCATCCACGAGCTGCATGTACACCTGGCTGCCGCACCGCAGTGGTCCACTGTGTCCGTATGGTGACACTAGCCTCAACGTCGTCTTATGAGCGTCACCCCCACTTACCATAGCATGACCTCTTTTTGAGTCAGGAGCCGCAACAATTCGCACCGATTTACGCACTTTATGGCAGAACAAGTGGATGGCATCTCCAAATCTGGCCGCACGTCGTGGGCCGGAGAACTGCTCTGCGTTTTCAACCACAAACTCGATCCCTGTGTCTTCGTCGCCATGCAACGGCTTACAGACACTGAGATACGACGCCTTGTTAAGCTGGTACTTGCCCACGCCTCCACCAAGAGCGCTCAACGCGAACACCGCCGACAACGGGCCGGTCAGGGCCACGCCGGCCACTCCCGCAGCCACCGCTGCCGCTTTCTGCGATCCAGAGAGGGCACTGCGCTTTGTCAAGCCGACAGACAGTCCACCCAGAGCTGTCAACGCGATGGTGCCACCGAAATGCACCAGTTCGTCACATGTTGAAGGTGCAACAACCGGCGGCGGCACCCGCCACGGGAAGGGCGCCGGCAGGTCGAGCAGAAGACCGTCCACGCTGTCCCGCGAGCTGATGGTCGTGTTGCTGCTCGTCGAGCTACTCGAGCGTCCGAGACGCCGGAAACTTGAGCTTCCTTCTAATTTATCGACACAGTCTCCCTGTACTACTTCACTGTCGTCCGATTCCGGTCGAGGCGTCACGAAGTCCCGGAACGTATCGGAAGCGTGGACGCTCTCGATCTCCAGTAATTTATGCAGGTAACTATTTAACTGCTTGCGCAGCTTATCCGCTGCTGCCGTTCGAGTGGATTGCGCTCGGAACGTGTCCCATCCGAGCCGCGAGGGCTTCGGCAGTTGAATGCGACGAGCGTGTAGCACCTGGTGGAAGAAACTCTCGATGGACGCGTGGAAGCGCTGGAAGTCGGCGTACGAACGCTGTACGAGCCACAGAGTGCGTGTTTGAGGGAACCGCAGCGAGATCTCGTAGCTCCAGTGCTCGCTCTTGGCTGCAGACGCCGAGACGCGCGTGATACCTATGTCCGCATCCGTCGCGAGCCACGGAGCCGGTAGTGACGAAGACTCGGTTGGTGATTGGTGCGGGAGCGCCATTTGCTTCCTCCTCCAAGCCAACATGTCGAATTGAGACGCAGGGGCGAGAAGACGGCGCGTCCGAAGCAACAATGAGCTTGTCCCCGCCAGCATCGTGACGCACAGAGAGTCGGATTGGGTCGGAACAGCCGCTCGATGCAAATCGCGAAAAGAATTTGTAACACCATGTTATTAAAAGTGGCAAGCTATTGTATTATCCCTGCTTTACTTTGTTTAAGTGAATTCTCATTTACCTGTTATATATACGATTACGAACTCAATGATTATATCGGGTAATGTGATAATGGAGTGTATTTTGTGGATCGCCTCAAGCGGCGCTACGCCAAGGTGGACGAACGTGACGGGTGGCGAGCGCATTCAGCTTCGAGCTGCCAAGGTGCCGAAGCTGACAGCCATACAACAGAGCGCGTCGTAAAGGCTAGAGCACGAATGAATGGGTGATGTTCATCACTGGACGGTGGACGAAGCGTCAAATGGAGCTCATATACAAGAACGGAATTTCATGCTGTCTCTCTCCAGCCGTGCAAGCGAACGAAATGACGGACAATGCGTTCGAGCAATGCGTGGAGTTTCTGCACTGGAGTCACATGACGGTCAACGTGGCGATGACTTCGCTCGAAAGACTTGAATCCAAACTCGTCTCACGTTACCAAATCGACTTACGCTACGTTCTACATGCATTTGCTCCACCGCTCCACCTACACCAACAAACTACCCAGTCGATAGACGTACGAATACTCCGTCAGCAGCTCATGTTGCTTCGGAGTGAGTCCGTGTTTGTTGAGACGCCCTTGCTTCTCCGTCGCGAGGACGGCTCCCTGGAGCACACGCCACTCCTCCAATAAGTGAACATGAGCGCACGCGTCCTTAACCTTCACCAGTGCCAAGATCAAGTGACCTCCAAGCACGAGAGTGAACTCGATCGTGTAGTGCTGACCCAGTAGAACCAACGCCAATAACGCACTAACAACCAACACAGTCCAAAGGACAGTCATGCGGTCCAGCACAGCTACAGCGACAGCAACCACCTTCCACAACACTATCTCTAGTCGGACGAAGTTACAGGTGATAGAGTCCTCGGACAGCAGCAACAGCTCCGCAGCAGCCAGTACCAAGTCTTCAATCGACCTGTAGCCCGCCACCTGTCCGATGACCGTCTTCCACTCCCCGTCGTACTCTGCAGCTTTTGTAGGGATCACAATGCTCTCCGATCCGGGCAAACCTTCACGTTTACACCAAGACAATCCGTCCTCATAGCCGAGATCGTACAGCCACTGCATATCACGCTGCGACGGCGGGTACATGGACCACCACGGAGGCACGTAGCGCGACGGACGGATGTCTGCTTTCGCGAAGACATTTGGGGTCACGGTGATCGTGCGAACATCGTCGTCAAACAGAGGCTGGTTGTCCAGCAAGCCTCCGTCGATGACATACTCTCCTTCATGCACGAATGGGAACCCCACTAGAGGGGTAGCACAACACGAGGCCACCATCGTCTGCAGCAGGTGCAACGGGTTCTTAAAGTGCGACACACGACGTGTAACCCAAGCTGACAACGATGTGTACACTACCGTGACTTTACCATGAAGTTTGTCCATGTTGTTGACGTTCCCGTGTCGTGTGATGGCGTCGATGAGGTAGTCGCGCATCTTGAACGGACCTTTCCAGCTCGCGTGCGCTGAAGGCACGTAGTCGTTGACCACGGAGTCACAGATCTTGTCAAAGTCCGAGTTCAAAACCAGTGATACGACGGAGAGACAGCCAGCTGAAGTCCCGATGAACTTGGCGTTCTCATCCACCTTCTGCTCACGCAGAGCCTTGCACACGCCGTACATGTAGACCATGAGCCAACCACCACCAGAGAAGGAGAAGTGTAGCGGTTCGTCGGTCGATTTCGATGGTGGTTGACGAGGTTGCATCTTGGAGATGGAGCGGCAACGACGAGACTCGACCAGTAGACTATGACGACCCCGTTGCGACAACTTGGGCAGTAGATCTCGTTCGGAGCGTCTCCATCTCAAGTTGGATCGACGTCTAGCTCTCCACGGGCGAAAGCGTCTTGACACCCCCTTGCGTTCCTGGCGGTGGGCCTTCAGTCTGTCGACGATATTACGTTTTTGAAGCTGCGGCATTGTACTCGAGTGCTCGCGACAGGGGAAATTGGCAAGTGATGCTTGTGATAGACTGAGCGGAGGTGAGCGTTAACCATCCAAGATCATTGGAGTTGAGTCTGTGTTTAGTGACAAGCTCCCACCGATAACGTTTCAAGGTGGCGATCGAGATGGATACGACGGAGTCGACCACGATCCACTCGAAGTAAACTACGCTTCGCTATACGTGGTTGACTCGGATCATCAAGAGTCAAAAGCCATAATACCTTTGGTGTCGCCCACCGTGTAATGTTTAACTGGCAACCCTTAATAAGACCCACAATTACGAGAATGCGATTAACTTTTCATCTTAAAACTTATGGTCTGTCCAAAGACAGTTGTAGTCGTCTGGGTGCCAGATCGAATGCAGTCGTGGGAAGTTGGTCGCGTCACGTAAGGGCTTGCACTCGACGGCTTCGGGGATCCAAATCGACTGGAGCTCAGGCAATCTGGGGATTCCTTCAACTGTCGTCAACGGTGTGAGTCCCAGCTCCAGCATTTCTAAACGCGTTAATGAGGCCAATGGAGAAGCGTCATCGATTTTGGTCGCATTGAGCCACAGCCGACGCATCTTCCGCATCCCTGATAGTAACGCAGCGTCTTTAAAGTCCACGCGACCGGCCAGTGACAATTCCTCCAACTTTGTTAGCTGCAAGAGGAACTCGAACGTAGTCTGGTGATCCTTGTGACGACGTGCTAGCTGTCGCTTGCCACGATCAAGTAGAGATAGCTCTAGTTTCTCTAGATTCACGAGCGCTCCAAGCGGAGATAGATCTTCAAACAGAACGTCTAGTAGCTCTAACTGAGTCAGCTGTACAAAACCTTCAAGAGGAAGAAGATCCATGACCTGAGCGGTGGGTGGTAGCGACATCGATAGTCTAGTAAGAGCCGGCATTTCTCCAAGTGCCGCGATCTGAGCCAAGTCGTCTGCACACCACTGTTGCAGTCGCAAATGGTGTAGAGTGGACGACATTAAGGTCAGTGGCGAGTAGTCCGTTAGTGGCGGCAGTTCGAGCGATGTCAACGCTCCCTGTCTACTCACAAACCTGAGAAATGAACTGGGAACGCGATGCGTCATGGGGATCGTCAGTCCTCTAGTAGAAACAACCGTGGTTCCTCTCTCTTCGACCTCTTCCTGCAGTACATCGGCGATATCGTCCGGGTAGTTGTGTTTGTACATTCTCAACTTCTTCAGTTTGTGTAGACTGCCCAACCACTCGTAGTTTACAGGTAGTACAGGTAGTTCCGCCATCTCGGTAGCTGTTTCTCCTCTTTCTCGTGTATCTAGCAGCAAGTGCTCCAGCGATTCCAGCGCAGCCAACGGACGTCGATCCCCCACGTGCGTCCAGCGAATATCCAGATATGTCAGATTAGACAAGCCTCTCACAAACTCCAGATCCGTTAGCCTTGTGTTTTGCAAGTGTAAAATCTCGAGGTCGGGGCAATTCAACGTCAACTCCGACGCATCGGACGCACCGATATTCGTGACTTTCAATGATCTCAACGCCGTCAAATGCTGCAGCACACTCAGATCTGTCGTGACCCAATTCTTGCTTATATCTAGCGTCTCCAAGTGTGGCAGAGTCTTCAAGGCGCTAAATTCGACGACCCTAGTTTCGGACACGTCCAACGCATGGAGCTCTGGTAGCGCCTCCAACACAGCCAAGCTGGCCACGTTGGTGCGTCTGACACTCAGCGACTGTAAATGTGGCAGTACTACCAGTGGCGCCAGATCTACTACATCAGTTTCTGCCAAATCTAAAGCTCTTAAGTTCCATCCAGTCGGTTGAATATCCTTATTTTCGGGTCCTTGCCCTACCACCTCCAGCAGCTCTGATAGTGTAATATCGGCGTCTGCGACGTTTAATTCCTGCAGTGTTGGTAGTAGTTGCAGCACTGCCGCCACGTTAATTGCTGGCTCCTCTTCCTCAGGCTTGTCGTCCTCTGGGGTCCAGTATGGGTAGTCCCAGAACCGCAGCGAGCGTAAAGCGGGTAAAACGCGCAGTAAATTCAACAAATGCATGCCTGTACGTGGCACCTTGATGGTTGTAACACAACGCAGCATTTCCGGCTTCATATGGCGCAGGAAACTGTCGGCATAGTAGTCGGCGGTTGGCAGCTCGTCCATCTTGTTCGTCAGAGGAGGTGGGGGCACGCGCAGCACGCCCTGGGACAGCACGAAGCGGCGCAAATCCGAGCTGGCAAGAGAGCGGCTGCAGGACGATAAGCAGAGCCAGTCGCGGAACGAAAGGAAGCCCACGATGAAGCGCAGCACGTCCGTCTTGCCGTCGAGATCACCCAACACATGCTCCATTTTCAGGCTTTCTATGTTATCTTGCAAATTATTTATATAGGTCAATTGTGAATAATTATTTTAATGAGCAATAATTGCAATTTTGTACTTTCAATAATTTTAAAGGGGATGATAAACGTTTTATGTTTCTGGTAATGCATTTTCTTTTAATAGTTGTGCATTTCCTTGGTGCATGAACTTTAAAATGAGACGGCGTCAAACGAACTGATCCTTACGAACCATTTGGAGTTATCGAGAAAAACGGCTTTAAAGATTGGCGAGTGAAATTCGGACTTAAATGAAGTTTTGCAAAAAGAGGCTTTTCCCACACATACCCATTTTTTCTCGAGGTGTATCGAAAGCGATCTTGTACTCAACCGAACAATGGACATGAGTCCGGCCACCTCCTCCACTCCGGCACCACCCACCAGCAGTCATACAAGCCCTAGTGTGTCGTCCGAGCAGGGCGTTGCCCTTTCTGGTGAAAGAAGGCTGCTTGGGTTGCTGAGACCGGATCCGGAAGGCCACAGTGACATAGAATTTCCTGCGCTCGACATCAAACATGACCGCCCAGGAGAAGAAGCAGAGAGTTCTGACTTCGTTGGCGATGCTAATGAAGCAGTTCGGGGAATGGGGGAAAGACACGTTCTCGAGAACGACCTGGATGTACGTGAACCCCGCCCTTCGACGTTTCGAAAGCTCCTGCAGCAGTATTGTCCGACTATTCGGATCAGGTCTCCTCGTAGCAACGTTTGTGACTTGTGTGCTATCCTGCACACACGCATGCGGTCGTGTATCACAGCAGAGCTTACTGAGGAGCTAGACGTCCACACTGAAGCCGCGAAGAAGATGAGGTAGGGATGCAAGAATCATTTTGTTTGAGATGGGATGCAAAGATCATTTTGTTTAACTGTGAACTTTTTTTTAGGCTGGAGTACAAGAAGGACCTGGCATCCGTGTCGGAGGATCACGCAGTGATCGTCATGGATTTCAGTCAAAACCTGACCCTTCCCAGCGTCGCCAGTACGCCGTCTCAGTGGTACTTCTTGTCTCTTGTGAACGTTCACGTCTTTGGAATCTACTACGCTAACAAGGGAATACAGTACAACTACGTCTACGAAGAATCGGTTGCTGGGAACGGACGAGGTCAACAGCATGCTGTATCACGTCATCCAGCGGATCGTGCTGACGAACGGCCATCGAAAACTCGCTATCTACGCTGACAATTGCGGTGGCCAAAACAAGAATAACTTCGTTGTTAAGATGCTGCTGGCTTTAGCTCAAACTGGAGAACTTGATGTCGTTGAGCTCAGGTTTTTCGTGACGGACCACACCAAGAACGCTGTTGACCGTGGCTTCGGCCTTATGAGGAAGAAGATTGCTAAGGAGGACGTGTGGACGGCTGATTAGCTGCTCGAGGTTATCAACGACTCCTCGTCTAGCTCGGCCCTTGTCCATATTCCCAAAGAGAACACGATGATGAAGTTGTTCCGAACGCCCGTCAAAGAGGCTTACAAGGATCTGGGGGTGCAGCGCTACCAGATCTTCACAATGAGCGAGAAGAAACCAGGGGTTGTCAGCTGCCGTGTTGGTTCTGCAAACCAGCCCGTGGGCTAAGACCTTCGACGGTCTTTTGACGGCATACAGACGAACGCTGCAAAAGTGCGGAGTCTACTAGCTGCGTACTTAGAGCCTCTACAACCACCGCCTCCAAATTTCGAGAAAAAGCAGCAAATGTACAACAAGGGAAGACCGTACGCTTCTTCCGAGATTGCGTCGGACCCCCTGTATGCAGCCCCTACGGATAAAGAAGAGCGCCACGCGAAGGAAGCTTAACAGGCACGTCACAGCGCAAGTGCCAAGAAGAAAAAACAGACGCTGCAATTTGTGATGAAGCGAAGGTCGCACCTGTCGATTGTAAAGAAGAGAATGAAGACCATGCAAACGTATCAAAAGCTACATCAGCGCAGCCCAAGACTGGGACCCGAAGCCGCAAGCGAGCGAAGAAGGACAATTAGGTCAATCCGTGAGCGGAATGTTAGCAGTACATCAGAATGATCCTTCCATCCTATACCCAAAAACCCAAAAAATAAAAATTTAGTATCCAAAAGTTCAAAATATACCCCACGAAATTGAGATCTCCGAAATTCAAACACATTTTTAGAAAGGAAGTAAAGCAAACTAGATACTGGGAGCAGGTGCAATCGATTCAGTAAGAAATATGGTTTCCAGTGGTCTAAAAACATTTTCTTCCAAAAAATGTTTTTTCAAGGAGGCATGTTTTTCTGAGACTCGTCGCTCAGTGAGTTTTTCACTTTTTGTAGATCTGAATGCATCAATCGAAAGAGGAGATCATCCTCTTTACAATGGTGTGCCCAAATCGTGATTCGTACTTAGGTTTGTAAGCATCTTTTCGTTTGACGCCGTCTCAAATATATTGCTTTTTTCCGGATCTTTAAGTGTCTAAAATTGAAATTAAGCAAACAAACACCTAGTTTCAAAATTAGAGAAATATTTCCCGATCTAAAAAATCATTTGCTGTGAAACTTTTTTCGTTACTAAGTAAAAAAAAAATGCTAAGAAAATTCACCACGGTCCATTTATCTGCAATATATTCTAAATTTGTTTCAGACACGCAGCACAACCCAGTGCAAGACCCCAGCGAGCAAAGTGATGGACTGTATTCGAGGTAGTTCGACGTCCGCTCGCGGTAGAACACCCGCGTTTGGCACACGTCACTTCCAGTACCGGTTGATAATGCCGATGAAATCCATAATGTTTTAGACAAAACCGACGTGGGGGTAACCTTCTTCACGCAGCCCATCAACAACTGGTACAACGTCGTGCCGTCACGGCCAATACCGGCGCCCATAATCTCCAGCATGTACGTTGCAGGGTTATATTGCGGTCGGATCTCCTCAGTTTGAGGGATGGAAGCGGAATACTCGAGCATCTTGACGGAATCCACGCCAAGATTGCCGAAGCACGCCATGTAGCCGCCCTACTGGAGCAATAGCAACCCCCCGAACAACTCGAAGATTGAGCTGGTGGATCATTATTCGACCCGTACGAGCGATCAGAGCCAAACGCGCGTCCAGACGACTCGTGGGTTCGTCCAGGAAACAGAACACTAGGGTTTATCATCGTGAAGTTTGGGGTCAGACGCAAATTCACCAGAACGAGCGACCGCACAAGTTCACCTGGATCTGTACGACCGTCTCGGCAATAGCATACGCCGCCGCATGGAACAACATGGCCGCTGCTTGAAAAACCATATCGCGCAGCTGGAACGAGATGGTGCTCTCCTACCACACCTGGTGCTGGAACTGCGCGATACTCAAGAAGGTAATGCATACGTAGTGCGTCGAGCTCAGCGAGAACGAGACCTACGACCAGTGCTTCGAACAGCAGCGGCGGGACTTGCTGAGAAAATGATCTTCTGGTGGTTCTGCAGCAACATCGTACTTGGGACGAACATAAGGGATCTCCGAATTTGGTACTCCACTACTCCACGCATTGGCTACAGTAGCGCCACAATGATCGATCCGTCCAGTCGTTTTGCACCGTGTCCGAAGTGGCTGGATGATATTATCAATTTATATAGGTCAAATCTGCGATCCATCGCTGCGGCAGTGTCAACGTGGCACAGGTGTCCTTGGCTACAGTATCGTCTTGGGAAGTATGCTAGTGCAGGTATGGTGGCCCAGGTTTTGGCACGCGAATTTTTAATATGTGTTTGGATGCGCTCATGGGGTATCTTTCGCCTTCTGCTTGATCGCGTCAGTTTGATCAAACATGTAGCAAGAAATTGAAGCATAACGGATTCTGTTGTAAGGTTGAAGCTGATGGGTACTGGTTGGAGTTTCGTGCAGAGGAATGTCACCACCAAAGTTCGCCCGTTCTTATTAAAAACAAATTGTGAAAGGAGTACTTTTGCTATTTCAGAGATCCTCACTACGATACTCAAATCATATTTGAGAAATCTTCACTAAGGGCGAAGGCTCGTCTATTTGACAGCGCTGAACAAGATTGATCGCTGCATTTTCGAGACGAAGAATCCCTGGAAAGTGGTTAACCGTCCAGCAAATAGTAACGCATTGGTCATGATGGCTGGATCCTAGTACACGATCCCACCAGTGATGCCACCACGTGCACACTGCTGCAAAAAAGGTGAATGATTCTTATACCTGTAGAATCTCATTGGAGACTAGCACGAAAACCAAATTATTGAGATACGGGAAATTCATCTTCGGTGCATTTTTGCATCGAGCAGCATGTGACGGTGACGCACGAATCTGCGAACATGCTCGGACGTTTTGAGTCTGAAGTTGGGTAAGTTTTCCGATTCGCAACTGCGAGGAAAACCAGCGTGAGTATTTCAAACGATTAGTGGCAACTCTACCAGTCAGCAATGAAAACCAGCATTTCGGAGGGCCGTTGCACTGCAGTTTCGACAACTTGGGTGGAAGACTCTTCGGATCTCGTGAGGGTAAACATGACTATCCCAACAGCAAGAGCTTCAAAACGGATGCAACCGACGATGCCGCTCAATGCTCAAAAAGCTAGATTGGACGTTACCAACCACACTAACACACAAGATCATGGCAGCATAGCGGCCGACCTTTGAGGTCTGTTGTCATCCTGTCAGGCCCGTTCTCATTCTCCAATTCGCCTGCATCTGCAAAGAGCGACTTACTCAGCTTTCTAGCTACCTGTTCTCACTCAGCCTTCAAGCTACGTATTTTTGAGCATCTATGGTCAAGTTTAACGTCTCCCTTCTCCTTGCCGCCATCATCGCGACACCCGCTCTCGCTGGTTACAGCCCAGAATCCGGCGTGTACACCACGACTGAAACCACCAGCGCGACCACCAGCGGAAGTGCCAGTGCTAGTACAGCCACAGAGCCGCCTTCGACTACTAATGTCGACGATGCAATCTGCGAGCAGGATGCCGAGATGCCAGACACGTGTGACGGAAGCGACGGCTGGTACCCGGTGTCGGTGGTCGGCAAGGAAGGATACTTCTGTGCCAAGGGACCGATCTGTGCCGGTGAAGTCGGAAACTGCCCGGGTGCCCACGACGATCTCGTGTACGGATCCAAATGCGTGAGCATTAGTGAAGGAACCTATGGTTGTATCCCCAACACCGAGTGCCCGCCTACGGAGTCCACGGTAGTTCACGACGATTGTGAAGTCGCCACTGACACTCCAGTCACCCCTGGTGTGTCAGAGGAAACACCGTACACGCCCCCCGAAACACCTGAGGCGACCACCGCTCCACCCGTCGTTGACACTCCAGAGACGAAAACTGCTCCGCCACCGGTTGACACTCCAGAGACAAAGACTGCCCCACCCGCGGTGACCGAGGAAACACCGTACGTTCCCCCTGAGACGCCCGAAACGACGGCTCCACCAGTGGTT